GCGGAATCTGCAGTTTCAGAAAGTGCAGAAGTGCGGAATCTGCAGAAATGCCGAAAGTGCGGAAAATCGATACGTATGAATTGCTTTTCGTCATTTCTGCAGATTCCGCATGTCTGCACATTCCGCACTTCTTCACTTTCGGCATTTCTGCAGATTCCGCACTTCTTCACTTTCGGCATTTCTGCACTTTCCGCACTTCTGCAGTTTCGGCATTTCTGCAAAGTCGATAAGTATCTATTGCTTTTCTGCAGATTCCGCACTTCTGCACTTTCCGCATTTCTGCATTTCTTCACGAACGCAAGCTATGAACGCGGCCTAAGCCTTCTCCAAAGAAGTTGCAAATGCTTTCCGCGAGCAATATCGCATGCTGTCGCTGCAAGCAATTACGCAATACTTGAGACTCTTGGCTTTCTCAGAGATTCGTATGAAGTAAAAATGCTTATACATGCTGCGTTTTTTAGCTAAATGTAGAACGAGAATCGAATTACACCACTGAAACCTCGCGCCTTCTCAACTCGAACTGTTTGGGAACCAATTTTTCTTAGGTTTTATAACTTTCAGAGGCTCATACCAGGGAATGATGATTGCAAATGGTGATTTAGCTCGTTGTCACGACGTGGGATTACTGCTTTTTCCAGAGAACTAACTTCTAAGAAAAAAGAGTACTGCTAAGTTTAAAGTTGGCCAGCTGTCAAGGGAATGCTCTCCATGAATGTCTCAGATTGTAGGTATTTCAAGATTAATATCCTTAGTAACGAACTACCTGCACTTTCCAGTAGCTGAGCCATGTGCGGAGGATCCGAGCGAACACACAACTGTTTGACATCAATGGATGGTGAGGTAGCTAGGAAGGCAATTTCGGGAAGCCAGGGTAACGATGAGAAAACTTGAATCCAGCTGTCGCTTGAAGGGGCTTGGGTTAAACTACACACTTTGTGCATATAAGCTGTTGTGTGCCGTTTTACTTTTTGATGAGGCCCGCTGGTTGCTATATTTCTACGTTTACACCAGCAACCCGAATAAGCTCACATTTCTTTGACATTCCTTAGGAGGGAACCTCAGGCAAGGAAGCAGCTTTTTATGCCACCGAGAGTCGATAATGAGAAGTGCTAAGGTTCTCACACGGGGACAGGATAGTGTTTTATAAGCACCATCTCTATTTGATTGGTTTTCAAAGTATAGAGTCCATTTTTCTATTCTGAAATTCATTATCTCCTGAGGTTTTTGGGAGAGCCTCTCTAAGGAAAATCAGGAGGGCTAGTTCACTGCTTTTTTTAGGTTATTGTACGCTTCCTGACAGTGATGATGAGGCACGGTTACATTGGAGAGTTCGAGATTGTTGATGATCATCGAGCAGGAAAAATTGTTGTGAACCTCAACGGCCGTCTTAATAAGTGCTCCGTTATTTCACCACGTTTTGATATTAAGCTGAAGGTGTGTTATTTATCACATTTTTCCTCTACATCTAGTGAATAGAATGAAAAATCGATTTGTTTAAGGATATCGAGCAGTATACAACCAACCTGCTCCCGTCCCGTCAGTTTGGCTACCTCATCCTAACCACATCCGCCGGTATTATGGATCATGAGGAGGCAAGAAAGAAACACATAGGAGGGAAGATTCTTGGATTCTTCTTCTAAATGTTATTGTTATAAATAAATTGTTGTTACGTTTCCTGGTCGTTCTCACACAATGTTGATCCAGCAATTACATGCCTTGAATAGGTCGGAGCTGATTTTGAATCTTGGACTTCCTCTGGGGTGCAGACAGAGTCGTTTCAAGTTGTGAAATATTTTGTACGCACAAGGGCGAAGCTTTGGCTTTCCATCTGAAACAAATTTAGAGCAGACTGGTGTCAGCGGTGTGCGATGTTGTTGTAGAGAAAGCTGTTTAGCCTCATCCAGGAGGGGCAATGGTTCGAAGCGGCTGTTGGAAATGGAAATGCATCGATTAAGGGATGAATTGCAGCAGATAACAAACGAATTGCGGACAAACCTACTGGATAGGCGTTCAGCCACATTTGATACAAGCTTATTCCTGGAATTCGATTAGCTGTGTATGCGCCCACTTGGAAAAGATCTACGTGACCTTGTTCAGGGAGGTCCGTGAAAGTCAATCTGAAACCGCCATCCGGAAGCTATCGGTCTGTAGGCATCTAGTTTCAAATGACACCTTTGACATACCATCCTCCCAGGGTGAGGTCTCTCTATTCCAAGACCCACAAACGTTACATGTATAAGGCACGATAATTTGTTCAATAACCTGGCAGAGGAGCTCTGCAATAGGAAAATGGCGGAGAAGAGATGTTAAATGCTTTTCATCCTACGAAGAAGCCTTTGTCCTGTACGGCATTGGACGAGCATTTGTGGGCGAGTTTCCTGTTGGCACAGTGCCAACAACGGCATTGATAGATACGGCTGGATCTGTGTATCCATACATTCATGTAGCAACACATCATACTATTATACTTCATAAGTGAAGCGATATTAGTCTCGGCGTCGATGTGACTTGGTGGGCCATGTGGGTGGCGGTTGCGGTGGGCGTATGGGCCGGCTTGTTGCACATTGATTAGGCGCTATAGCAGTGCTTGGTTGAAAAGGCGTGCTAAGGAGCATAATACTCCTCACTGCTGGTCTAGGCTTCCTACCGTATCGACACTGTACGCTTTGTCGTTACATTCTGCCTTTTGCTTGTAATGTTACCTGGTACCGGGGAACCACTGTTTAGTTTTTGCCTATCACCGAATCCGTCTCACAAGAGATCGTTGTTCTTCCGCTTCAGGATCCCTGTCTTTAGCCGAGGTGCGTCATATTTGTTAGAAATAGCGTTCACACGGACAGCACTTGCATCGAAATTGCCGCGTGTTGCGGGAAACGGCGGAAAAGCTCGGTACATCTAGAAGCGTAATATTTCATTCTACTGAAGCGGCATTGCGCATCGACATCGTTTTTCTTCCCCTCAGCATGGTCCAAGCTTGAAACCCCAAGCTCCAAATCGACTCGGGATCACGCAAACGATACCGCCCCGGGATCACTTTTTGAGGCTCGTCTGAGCATGAAATGCTAAGTGCCTTCACTTATGTATCGGGAGAACTTCACAGGAATGTGTTGGACGAATCACTTTCGGAAGCACCAACGATCCGGCATGGGAATGGGGTGCGTGGCGCATCAAAGGGAAAGTTTGATGGACTCCGAATGCTGCCATACTTCCGTCATTTGATACAGAATAGAAAGTTATTTGTACAAAGGTCAATCATTGATCTGCATAAAGATTGAAAAGATAAGCTTGTGCCAAAAGTGGCGGTGCGTCTTCTGTACGATAAGGTAATTGCTATTGCAGACTTGATGAATAAGTACTAACGGGAAATGGATCGTGTCATTGGATTAATTGATATGGACTGTTTCTATGCACAAGTTGAACAACGAGAGCAGCCTGATTTGTGGGATAAACCGGTAGTGGTTGTACAACATGCAAGAGAAGGAGCTCCAGGAGGGTAAGTCGTACTAACTTGCAAGTCAATTAGAGCACTAGTAAAAGGTGCGTTATTATCGGCATCGTTTATAAACTGCAACTGCATTGTTCCACAATCTTGAACTGAGCTTATCTGTAGAAGACGGATGGAAGAGAATAATTCTTTGCATCGGCCTTCGTTGTTAGGATTCAACAAGCTCGATCTTCTTGAGCGGTGGTCTCATTTCAGGGTCATTGCGGTAAGCTACGAGGCGCGGAAATTTGGTGTGAAGCGAGGAATGATGATCCCTGAGGTAAAGGCCAAATGTCCAGAGGTGAACGTGTGCTTCGTTCCTCAAGGAGAACATATTGATAAAGCGGACATTCAAAAGTATCGGTAAGTTCAAGCTCACTTTGTCATTTGAGTCAACCCATGATACTTGGTGGCCTGATATAGGACTACATCTTTGACTTGCCCTTTAAACTTGATTGTATAATAGCTTAATCCGATCAAATACAGAATAAAAAGTTATTTGTACAAAGGTCAATCATTGATCTGCATAAAGATTGAAAAGATAAGCTTGTGCCAAAAGTGGCGGTGCGTCTTCTGTACGATAAGGTAATTGCTATTGCAGACTTGATGAATAAGTACTAACGGGAAATGGATCGTGTCATTGGATTAATTGATATGGACTGTTTCTATGCACAAGTTGAACAACGAGAGCAGCCTGATTTGTGGGATAAACCGGTAGTGGTTGTACAACATGCAAGAGAAGGAGCTCCAGGAGGGTAAGTCGTACTAACTTGCAAGTCAATTAGAGCACTAGTAAAAGGTGCGTTATTATCGGCATCGTTTATAAACTGCAACTGCATTGTTCCACAATCTTGAACTGAGCTTATCTGTAGAAGACGGATGGAGAGAATAATTCTTTGCATCGGCCTTCGTTGTTAGGATTCAACAAGCTCGATCTTCTTGAACGGTGGTCTCATTTCAGGGTCATTGCGGTAAGCTACGAGGCGCGGAAATTTGGTGTGAAGCGAGGAATGATGATCCCTGAGGTAAAGGCCAAATGTCCAGAGGTGAACGTGTGCTTCGTTCCTCAAGGAGAACATATTGATAAAGCGGACATTCAAAAGTATCGGTAAGTTCAAGCTCACTTTGTCATTTAAGTCAACCCATGATACTTGGTGGCCTGATATAGGACTACATCTTTGACTTGCCCTTTAAACTTGATTGTATAATAGTTAACCATCGAAAACAGAGTAAAAAAATAGAAGGATAAATTATTCGCCGTTAATCCCTTTGCGCGTGCGGCACGCATTCTGCTTCTGTTCAGAATCGTGTGGGCTTATTGAATGCGTTGTATCTTATGCAATGACGTGCGTAGAGCGAGAGCGGCCAATGGATAAGTCGTTCTTGTCATCACAGCATCATTGTGGTACCAATTTACTGTCCCGGAAGTGAGAAGCTTCAGGTGGGCTTAGAGAGGATTCGATCCGAAATTACTTAAACTCACTAAGTGTTTACATTTTGTCGGATCTCGGATACGTAGCGCTTGAGTCAGTAATGAAATCAGTCTCTGCCCGTTCTGGCACAAGAGGCGGTTGACGATCTCTCGAGGCTATTCCTACGACTCTCCTGTATATTTTCCAGAAAAATATTTTTCCAATTTATTCCTTGAGAAAATATTTTTCATTCTGGCTATTTTCAGTCACACTGAACAATGGAAACATGTCCCAACTATCCTTTCTAGTGACGCCAGCGCTGAGGTGTTCGACGTTTTGAATGCATTTGACGAACGAGTTGTGGTGGAACGTGCTTCAGTTGACGAAGCGTTCCTGGACCTTACTGAACTGGTTGACCAACAAGTAATTGAATGCGGAGCTGCAGAATTGCTGCAGAAAGTAAGCCGTTCACTCTCAGATCGAATTATTTCCTAATTTCTATATTATCTGTTCTTGATAAATATGGGCGGGTGGGAACCTTCTTTTAAATGAAGTAATGCCACCCCCATACTTTGCAACTCGGACGATTCATCGCGCGATTGGCTAGTCCATGCCTTATTTGTTAGAGCGCTACAGCTGCTATTACAGCTCATTCAGAATACTGCGACTTGAATTGTTTAGTCGATATGGAACTCGCGCAATTGAATTGTTAGACACGAACTACGAACGCTGCCCAAACAGAGGTTTCCTGTTCAGGAACGCTAGCTGTTCTCTGTAGTACACAGTATAGTGCTTTAGTGCGTTCACCAGCAGCCTGCTGCCCTTTCGTCTATGTCAGAATTCGAGGTTATATGTTTTCTTTCACGAGAATCGGAAAACTGACTTCAAAACAGAATCTGAACCGTATGCCACTTTTACCTTCCACTTACCAGCCAGATGTACTGCCGTGCAAGTAGAGAAGCGGGAATAATCCGAGAGCAGATTCTGGACTGGCATTCAAATATACGTCTAGTATGTGATAACGAAGTTCAGTTGCGAGATGTTATTTCCAAGAAACTCAAAAGATCCCAAAGCTCTTCAAATTGGCCACCTGCCTAATTTAGCGCTTAGAACCTACGTCAGGCTTGAAATAGTCTTCATTTGCAACCCTTTGTAGTAGCCCGGCAGAAACTTTTTAGAAAAAAGTGTACCTCTAAAAACTGCGCACAGATGCTTTTCAGCACCGCATTTATCTGATCTGGAATGATTACTTTATCCTACTCTTCGTGGTGTTGTCCTCTATTGTTCGAAAAACGCACTTATTTCAAGCTGCCTTCTGTCATAACTATTCTCAACCTATTCATTCTTTCAGCTTACAGGTGACATTTCCACTGCTCTTCCCACCACACATCTAGCAGATGGCTGCGATAAAGGAGGCGAAGAGCCGTACGATCGTGAGAAAAATCTTCGGAATTGGCTCAGTACACAATGTGCTAAGGAAATCAGTCATGTTTGTAGAGGCCTTTTCCTTCACAATGCGTCAAAAAGCTCAGACGTTCTTGTTAACGGCTTTCTATTTACCCTCTATACATCGACTTTCAGCTCCGTTTGGCTATCGCTGCCCAGATAATCGAGCAGATGCGTGCGAACATACGCGAATACACCCAGTTCTTTTGCTCAGGAGGCATAGCTAACAATAAGGTTCGCTAGTCTTTCACCATATATTTAATCGTCAGTTCATTTTCTGGGAGTTTTCTGTTTCATATAACATTCATTGTCGACGCCAGTCAGTATTAATTCATGGTTCAAGTGTAATCGCGCGAGAAGTTCATTGAGCCACAGGGCCAGAGTTCAACTTGGCCCGCTCCCTATCGTACCTATCATCTCCCTTAAGTTTTGCCTCTTCCTATCATTTCTTCCCAGTTCCCCACGGCTCCTGCTTTCCTGTACATCATGACAGGGATTCGCTTAGCCGTGCTCTATGGTAACAGTATCCGTCGAGACTGGTTGGCCGCAACGATCGGAATTCAGGACGTTTAATTTTTTTTCCTCTTATCGGCTTTGAAACACTTTGAAACCGCACATCTTGCAAAGACATCTGCTCTCTCGTAACGCAGAACGTAAGTTTCGGTGGGCGTGGACAACCTCATCTCCTCAGAGGTATTCCGAGGGAAGACAATCGCGAAGAGCATGGCGATCTTTAACGAGGTATTCGACCGTAGTCGACTTAAAAAGAAGACGAATGTTACGGGCTGCGCGTTTATTTGATGTTCAGACGCCTTCTAAGGATATGGTTTACTGTCCGCAAACATGGAGGATGTACTACTTCCGCAGTTCCAAAATTTATGAAGAAAGCGCGACCCGCTCGTGACGAGGCCACGGTCCCGCCCACTAGCTACGAGGCCACGGTGCCACCCACTAACTACGGCGACGCCCAACTTTCATTTGTAGAGGCATCTGGGTGTACAATTCTTCCGCTATTAGCTCTCTATTTTGAACGGTGGTAGTGAAGTGTGAGAGATGCTTTTTTTCTACAGTTCTAAGTTTCTTGCCATCTTGTCATAAGTACTTGAGCCGCACAACTGACCATTATTGAACAATGGGGCGTGCGTTGAAGATGTTTCGTGGAAGTGTCTGGAAGCTGAAACGTTGAAGCTGTATGGATTCTGAAAAATGTCAAATCTATAGGACAATCTAATAATGAGAAATTAGCTATTTCGGTGCGCGGCCCATACTTTCTCGCCACCGCGCCCGCGCTTTCTAGAAAACTTTCTGCTTCCTAGAAACTCGTTTAGATGCTAGCGAAGTTGGTATGTGCTCGTCATAAACCTCGTCAACAAACAGTGCTGCCATTCGAGTATGTGCCAATCATTTTCGAAGAGACTCCCATAGGAGATGTGCGTATGCTGGGAGGAAAACTCGGACACGCACTGCAGGATCGCTTTGCTATTGGCGTGAGTACACAAGAAATTTGTTTCCTAACAATCACTTTTACAATGAAGTTCAACTACTGTTTAGACTATGGCAGAACTGGCAGCGATTCCGCTGGAACTAATTGAACGTCATTTCGAAAGTCAGGCACAATGGATTCATCAGCTGTCCAAAGGATTTGATGACGAACCGGTATTGAATTCTGTTACTTAAAAAGCCAGTCGCTTAAGAGATCGGTATCAGAATAATGATGCGTTAGATAGTCTATATTTGAGTCATTGTTTGAACGGAAAGGAACTTGCAGTCTCATGAGAACCATCATTCTTAAGCTGTTTCTCACGATCAGTTTCAAACCCTTTTAAGTTAGCTATTTAGCTATTCACTGAATTTCTCACGATCAGTTTCAAACCCTTTTAACTTAGCTATTCACTGAAATCACTCCTATATGATGACATTGAGATAAATTAGATTCTTCTCATTTTAGTCAAGTCCCATCCATATAGAACTGTGAACAGGCGTGACAAGAAAACGCAGTGGTGATTAAATACAAAATGAACCCTAACCTCCATGACCTTTTTCTTTCCATGTGTGAGGTGAATGGGTCCGCAGCTAAAGTAGGGTCCCACTTTCTGCGGGTGGACAGGAACGGAGCTGAGAGTAGTGATGCCCGGACGCCGTGTCCATACTCCGTCCGCGCTGCCGCACCGCCAGCCACGCGCTCAAGTGTTCTCTACCTAGTACTGCGTGTTTCGGTGCGGGATTCTGATATCGACGCAAGTGCTGCACATGGTGGATAGCGCGCACGCAGTATGGGACTGACATTGGGGTACCACTACGCTCCATTTCCGTTCACGTGCACTTTTAAGCGGAGAGATGGCGCGTGTTGCAGCTGCGGACTCATTCACTTCCACATGGATAGTGCCATCTTTGGATGTGAGTATATAGTTTTCTTTAAAGGAAAGTTTCATTGCTTATTGTGGGTAGTGGTGTTCAACAACGGACCTATAGTCGCTGAACGACTCACTCGGAAAGGGAAAAAAGCGAAAAAAATCAGGGGAACACTGCACCAAGGACATGAGTTGTCCAGAAGTGCTCGTTCTG